GCACCACATTCAAAACTGGGGACACACTATACAAATACTATGTCCTCAGTTATTTACAAACAGCGTACTGATCACTGCAATGCTTGAATATTTCAGGGGACGGTCAGCAAATATTTCACATAACGGCCTCCTGACAGGTTTCTCCTCCCTTCGCTGACAAAAGGATCAGATCTGTGCCCCCTCCGATCCCCGCTGCCTTTGCCGATACAGGTGAGAGGAGAACAGCAGGGATCAGAGGGGACAACAGACCAGAAAAAAAAAAAAAATTGTTGATTCTCCTATAATACCATAAAAACCACGAATGTGGATCTTATGTAGATTGACTTAATAGGTGATGGACACACAGCAACAAGGTTTATTTAATGTAATGATCAAAGCGCTGACTTCCTAAATTAAACTTGCATTTTGCATAATCTGCATCCTACAGGTAGAGATATGTGAAAAAGTAAGTATGCGCCACTATAATTGTTGACTTTTTCAACATTTTTAAACAGGCAACCACTAGATCATCATTCTAATTTCTTCTAAATGACTGAAAATTAATTTACTTAGTAGGTGCACCGAAATTTAATTTTCAGATCAAAACAGAAAAAACATTAATCAGGTTGAAACTGAAACCCAAAATTATATTTATTGTAAACCTTGTTAAAATTATTTTTTTTAATTTTTACTTTACCGTCAGGTGCTTTAGGACATATCAGGGGTCTAAACAGACCCCCTGATATTTCCCTTTTGAAATACAAAAAGAGATTGAGAACACAAAGCCCTAAATCTCTTTTCCTGCACCCCCTGTTAAGGCATACTATGCCCTCAATTATTTACGAACACTCAGCAATCAGCTGAGCGCTTGTAACCCGCTCTTCATCCTGACTCGCTGCCACAGGAGACTGAGTGGGCAGTGCGGGGAGGAGAGCTCAGCCTCCTGTGACACTGCTGACAGCTGACTCCTCCCCCAAACTGCAGCCTCAGCCTCCTCCCCCACACTGCTCTATCCTGATCTGCTTATCACAGGGGGCTGGGTGCAGGAGGAGAGGTCAAATTAGGTTATCAATGATTATAACCTACTTAGAGAGTATGCAGGTAAAAACGGTCTACGTTACAACTTACGGTAGATATTTACGGTCTGGTGTACGTTTTGCTTTTTACGTGTGTGATGCCATCATGCAAAGATAAAGGGCTCTCAGAAAGAAGGTTGCAGGTGCCTATATATCTGACAATATATGTCAGGCAAAGGAGTTAAAACGATCATAAAACTATTTGAACTCATCAAATAAACTACAAGGGGCTCAGATTTCAAATGACTACCAATTGGTCCATGACTGTCCAGCCCAGCAATTTCAGCCCAGGAGCTGAACATTTGATACTACAGAAGTCTCCAAGACCCCCAAAATTTTATTTCAGGATCTATAGGTAACTTTTGTAACAGCTGGTGTCAAAGTGAATGCATCTACAATCAGAAAGATTGCAACAATTAAACCCACATAAGAGGAGTAAAAAAAAAAAGCCTATGCTTTCCAAAAAGAACAGAGAATGGCTACAGTTTGCCATTGAACATATAGGCAAAGACCAGTCCTTCCTGAGCAATGTGCTGTGCACTGGGGAAACAAAGATAGAGTTGTCTAGTAACAGTAGACCTGTTTGGCGCAAACAGTGTTTTAGGAGGAGACCCTCTTACCAACTGTGAAGCATGGTGGTAACAATGTTATGGTTTGGAGTTACTTTGCTGCTTCAGGGCCTGCCTATCTTGCAGTCATTAAGTCAACTATGAATTCTGCATCATATTAAAGTGCGCTTGATGAAAATGTAAGGCCATCTGTCCGAAAGTTAATTTTTAAACACAGTAATGACCTGCAGCACACCAGCAAGTCCACCATGGAATGGCTCAAAAAAAAAGAAATGTAGGGTTATGGACTGACCGAACCAAGGCCCTGATTTGAATCCCAATGAAATATTGTGGGGGGATTTAAAATGGGCAGTTCATGCAAGGTAATTCATGAACATGTTGCAGCTAAGGGATTATTGCATGGAGGCGTGCTCAAAGTGAATGTCAGAGACTGGCAGGCATTTTAGGCAAAATGCCTGCAAGAAGTTCTTCCTGCTAAACAGGCAATACTACCGGTAGCTCCTTGGGCTAAGGGTGCATTGACTTTTTTCATATATTGATATTTGTGTTTAATAAAATGATTGAATAGACAAATCTTCCTTTTTTTGTTTTTATATTCAAGTACATCACGTTTATCAGTAGGCACTGTTTGAATGAAAATGTAATGTTTGCCTGCTCTCAAAATAGGTTAGGTCCCATGGGTTATTCTTACCTTTTCACAACTGTACACTCTAAATAAATGCTATAGTAAACTTTATATTGAGAATGGATGCAAAACATAACCCCAATAAAGAAAAACAAAAACTACAACCCTTTCGACTGACAAGGTTTACAACGAACTAGAACTATTAATACAAAAATAATTCTTACTGTTCCGATAATTCATGGTCACTGCAGTCACTGTAGTTGGGTTCTGAAGTTGAGCAGACGCTATCATCAAGCATATCATGGGGAAGGTCAGTTAATAACTGCTGTAACTGAATAGGAAAATATAAAATGAATAATGCAAATGCCCCTAATGGACCACCAACATTTTAGAGCTAGGAGAAATCCTAGAGAAACATCAAAAACAGGAAAAAGGTATATGTATAGGAAAAAGGTTTTTATTATTTTGTATATACTAGGGAATGGTTAAAACTTATCAGGTTATATGCAGGCTGTGTTTACTTCCTGTTCATAAGTGTGTACTTCCTGGAACTCTTCACCCCAACCTGATCGTCTATCTCCCACCTTGACTGTCTTTAGACGATCCCTTAAGTCTCATCTCTTCAGGGAAGCCTATCCCACCTCAATCTAACCACTGAACTATCACGTGCTCAAACAATTAATCCCTACACAGCTACCTCCTCATGTATCACTTCCCCCTCCCCTTTAGATGGTAAGCCCTCAGGAGCAGGGCCCTCCTGACCATCATTTTCTGTATCAGTAACTACAGGCATGCTACGAGAGACAGTCACAGGCCGGGGACGCCCTGCAGGAGAGACAGTCACAGGCCGGGGACGCCCTGCAGGAGAGACAGTCACAGGCCGGGGACACACTACATGAGTGCTGAGATATCTGCTACAGGCCAACAGGGAAACACAGACTACTGCCTGACAAAATCCCAAGGGCCACAGAAAAAGTGCCAAAGGGTCCTTCAGGGAGGAAATTCAGCCATCCATGAATCATCTCTAATCATCATTCAGCTAAAGCAGAAACTACACAGCAGATGGTGCCAGGAAATTGGTCCCAAGAGTTCTGACAGAAAGGTGCGGAAAGCGTACAATGAGCTGTAACCACTAATCCATATTACATCGCATGGTGCGCATCTCACCAATTGTTCCCGGGCATAATCCTCCTGATCATATTCCTCATTGTCATTCTGCTGGGTCTGCAGTGCTCCGCTGTCAAAGTCAATAGACATGGTGTGTGATAGAATCTATTTGTAGAGGAAATCACCTATCGGGGAGAACAAAATACACGAATCATGGATCAATTACAAGTATATGTAGTGCATTGTATCAATCTTTACATACAATCTGCTACATTCACATCAGAAGATACCACAGGCTCACTGACAGCATGGGCAGGGATCAGAAACACACACTGATTGTGTACACACACACACACACACACACACACACACTGATTGTAGACACACACACAACGACCATAGAGCTGAATTATATGTAAACGACATTTTAGTATACACCAGAGCAGAGTCGGTGCAGCAGCCCTGGAGCACACACAGACAACACTACTCACTGCAGTAGCCGTCCATCCAGGACACGTTTCCGTACATCACCTGCCGGGCTCCGGTTCAGTCTGCGGCTCCCCCGGTCTCCAAACATCAACACATCCTCCACTTCCCTCTCAACAGTCGAAATCGGAGCCAGCTCAGCGATTCGTCGGACACAAACCAGAGTGACAAGCCTTTACACCAATCAGTTACCGAGACTGCACAGCTTAACCCCTCCCACTGGCAGCTGATTGGTGCTAGCGGTCGACAACCAAACCAGCATAACAAGTTCAATGCAGTTATCAAGGTTTGGTTGATTTGTATGGCCAACAGCCTCCATTGATTGTGCCAGAGGGCGGGGCAGTGGCGCGGTGGGCAGCGGGAAGGTTGTGCGGTACTCTGATTGGTTGAGACGGAGTCCGCTGTCATTACCACGACACGAAGAGGTGTTGGTGTGAATGGGACGGGAAGATTACATTGTAAAGTCATAAAATAGTTCTATTACACAGGAAGATCTCATCATGTGTAGATAACACCCTATAGCTTTCCGTACAAGTATATATCATCTGAATACAAGAGCCATGTGTTCTTCGTTCTTCCAGATCTGTACAATAAAGCAGGTGCTTTCTGTAACAGACCGGTCACTGCTGCTCTCTCTACTTGTGCAGGGTGACTGGTCTTGTCTCTGCCCCTCCTGTAATTTTCTGCAGGTGGTCTGCTGGGCCTCTCCCACAGCCCTGCTCTCTGTATAGACTATGGAAAGCAAAGTGATGTCATTGCTACTTTTAAAAGGTAATATCTGGCTTTACAAAAGCATCTGGTGCTAAGTGGATTTATATCCTTCATGGCAGAAAGTTATTGTGTCTGGAGTTCAGCTTTAAAGGAAACCTGTACCTAGAGAAATATGGAGGTTTCAGAAAATACCAGTTACTTGCATGGCTCTGACTCCAATACTTAGTGAGAGTGAGCCGGAGGTATGCAGATCTATTTCCTTAGATTTGGATAGGGTGGTCAGGTTTTTAGAGCTGTCTGTGTCCCTGTTAGGGAAATCTGCTCTTGCTAATTGTTCTGATCACCAATGTCACTGGGAATGAAAGTGAACGAAATTCCGAAATTTTGAGTTGCCATCAGAAGAGCAATAGAGGGAAAATCTTCAACGGGAAGACTTATTTTCATGACAACTGTCTAAAAGGGAATTTCCCTCACGCTGGAAATATATCTCCACACTTCCTGTTGAGTCTGCAGGACAGGAAGTTAAGGGAAATTTCCTTAATGAGACACAGATGGCAAAAAAACTCCCTGACAGTGGATATAACAAGGGATGCACCGATACCGGTATTGAGGATGAGTACCAATATTTTGCTTTCGGTACTTGCCAATACCGAGTACTGACACAGGTGCTTCCGCTGTTATGGAGCCGGCTTCCCGGGCAATCACATGCAGCCCGGCTTCCTGATTGCCCAGGAAGCCGTCTCCATGTTGTTTGGCCTGCTGAATTGTGATTGGCCGGGAAACCGGCTTCCCAGCCAATCAGCATTGAACCGGTTGCCAAGCCAGGCAGCGAGTAATGACCTGCCTCTCAGCTTACTGACTGGTCGGGAAGCTGGCTCCATGCTGATGGCTTAGGAAGCCGGCTTTCCAGCCAATCAACATCTAGCCAGCTGTTCGGCCGGCTCGATGCTGATTGGACTGGAAGCCGGCTTTCCAGCCAATCACCATGAAGTCGGCTTCCCGGCCAATCAGGGAGGCAGGTCATTGCTTCCTGATTGCCCGGGAAGCCAGCTCCATGTTCCCCTACGGCACTGCAGGTCAGAGGAAATTTTCCTCTGACCGGAAGTTCTGGTATCAGGGAAGGTATCAGAGCATTTGGGCGAGCATGAGTACTCGTTATCGGCACCCATACCAATACTGGTACCAGTATTGGTACATCCCCAAATATAAACCTCCTCTACTCTATCCAAGGTGAAATATAAAGTTTGGGCTTCAGATGTCTTCAGGGTCTTCTTTGCCTCCTCTCTGGGGCTGAGTGATCCTTAATAATGCTCAGTGACCTGATATCACCAGTGCCGTCCTCTGCATCACTGTACTTGTATTGCCGGGCACCATGGGCTCATGATGCCCTCCATTCAAGAAATATGTTGAATTGTGACAGTGCTGGCGCTGGATGATTGATCGGTCCTGCTTTTCACATAGGCTTGGAGATAGTCAGCCTTGTGTGTGGTCCAGTTGTGCAATGGGCTGACATTATCTGCTTCCTGTAGCTGGGTGGAGCAGAAGGGGAATGTAGGGAAGGTAAGTATGTGCTGCTCGGTTGGGGAACATTACAGTAAACTGTACAAATACCTCCTGTATTGCACTATGCCTATATTTGCTAGAACCGATATAAAAGCAATCTGTGCAAAGCCAATAAAGAATAAATGTAAAATATTGATTATTCATAAACACATGCAATACAAATGTTGAGAAAAGTTCAAAAAGTGCCAAGTCCCAATAGATTTAAATAAATGATGTGATTAATCCTCAATCTCAGGTGACTCCGTTCTCCTTATTGCTTTCAAATGCACTCACCAGATATCTATTCAGAAAGCGCAAGCAAGAGGTATGAGCTAGAAGTGGAGACTGAAGAAAGGTGCAGGGTCCTCCACTTGGTTTTGCTGATATTGTCTTACATTTTCTTGTTCTTGTATAAAACAATACAAATGTTGAAATGGAAAGTACACGGTCCACCAAAGTCTGCATATGGCCAGGTAAAAGGGGGCCTAACGCAGAAAGCTGGATGATATTTTGTTACATACAGAAAGACAGTGAGTGATAGCTATTTGTATTAACAGAACTCGGTTTAAAGGTAAAGATTTGGCATAACGCATCAGAAAAAAGACCCTGACGAAGTCTGTGGTGATGTAACGTGCAGGGCGGAGATGAACAACATAGTCTAGAAGTCAAGTCCAGTACCTCAGAAGTCAGCCTTTCACATTATGAACCCTCTTCACATCAGAGCCATCCCTTTCACATCAGAGTCCCCCCTTCACATTAGAGTCCACACCTCATATTAGGAGCACTTTCACATCAGAATCCCCCTCCTTTCACATCAGAATCCCCCTTCACATTAGGAGCCCTTTCACATCAGAGTCCCCCGTTCACATTAGAGTCCACCCATCATATTAGGAGCACTTTCACATCAGAATCCCCCCTTCACATTAGGAGCCCTTTCACATCAGAGTCCCCCCTTTACATTAGGAGCCCTTTCACATCAGAGTTCCCCCTTCACATTAGGAGCCCTTTCACATCAGAGTCCCCCCTTCACAATAGGAGCCAATTCACATCAGAATCCCCCCTTCACAATAGGAGCCCATTCACATCAGAATCCCCCTTCACATTAGGAGCCCTTTCACATCAGAGTCCGTCCCTGCTTCACATTAGGAGCCCTTTCACATCAGAGTCCCCCCTTCACATTAGGAGCCCTTTCACATCAGAGTCCCCCCTTCACATTAGGAGCCCTTTCACATCAGAGTCCCCCCTTCACATTAGGAGCCCTTTCACATCAGAGTCCCTGCTTCACATTAGGAGCCCTTTCACATCAGAGTCCCCCCTTCACATTAGGAGCCCTTCCACATCAGAGTCACCCCTTCACATTAGGAGCCCTTTCACACCAGAATCCCCCTTCACATTAGGAGCCCTTTCACATCAGAGTCCCCCCTTCACATTAGGAGCCCTTCCACATCAGAGTCCCCCCTTCACATTAGGACCCCTTTCACATCAGAGTCCCCCCTTTACATTAGGAGCCCTTTCACACCAGAGTCCCCCTCCTTTTTTATAAGGAGCCCTCTTCACATTAGAGGTATGCGGCTGTGTTTATTTCTTAGGGAAGACAGAAGGCACTCCAAGGTGGATCAGTCTAAAGCGGCAACTCAGAAAAACATTCAACAATCATATTTATACAAATATTGTGTTTATTGAAAATAATGGCATTCAAATGAAAAGGTGGATACACACATATTCTGAAATCCTACTTGATAAGAAACATACTAGACTAAACAAAATACTCCTAAAAATGCCCTTATAGTGTCTGCAAGAAATAACATTGTTACACACATGCATATTGTTCAGAATTACTGCACACCAAATCAAGGCTTTTCATAACATAGCACATTGTTTTTCCAATGGGGTTATAATAGAAATATTAAACTTGCAGAGACTTTACTTGTATTTCAATGTATATACAGTATAGCAACACAGAAGGTTTTGTCCTCCTCAAACCCCTCATATAAGCTCTGCTGTGGGCAAACGCTGGTAGATTGATCATTTCTGGTATAAGAGTTCTATATGAATGATAGCATATGTGAAAGCACAGGCTGTGTGTGCCCTAACATTGGTACAATGAGGGTCCTGCTGTTGGGTATGTTGGGTAGAAGGACAACACTGAATAGGATATCGTCATGAGACAAATACAGAGGTTGCCGATGCCACCTTCCATCTGAAAATATTAGTCGTTTCAATTAAGTCTACAGCTCGCCACTGTTAGAATTTTAAAATTCGGTGTGTGGCCCTGCCGGCTCACCAAAAGTCAATTACTCAATCAGCTTTTGTAGAAGGAGCCGGGCCGAAAATTGATGGCCGAACAGTTCTGAACTCCTCGGGTATTCTGACAGCGACTAGCGCCAGAATCTAATATCCTGGGGGAGATTTGTTTTATTTCATTCTGTATAGTGTGGATAGAGAAATCTATTAGTGTAACGCCAGCTTCAGTCAATAACCTGCAACAAGAATGCAGCCGCTGAAAGTAGACCGGTCCCAAACGTTTCAATTGCAACACAGCAATTGTCAACAAGCAGCAGCGGGTGAAAAGCATGACGTTTGTGAAATCTATTTGATTGTTTACCTGTACAGGTTATTTGCCTTCACAGTTGTATGCAAATATCGACTTTGCTATAAAGTCATCAGGTAGCTCCTCCCCCTGTTCCAATGCCGACATCAATGCACACCCCTTCCACACTTTCACCTAGGAAAATCTTGAGCGTTTTAAGTCACTCAGGACTCAGTCTAACCTGTTAATTTAAACAGCCCGTAATCAGAAGTACTCCTGAGCAGTGCGGTCATCAAAACCGTAAGTCACATGACTGATCTGTAAAATGTGGCTGCCCCCACTGAAGGATGTCCACAGGGAGAAAGGGTGCAGTCTGCTAGGCACAGGACTTGAATGAGAGACTGTGCCCAACCATGGGCTAAAAAAAACCATCTTGGTGGCCCCAGTGAGGTATATGCAATACAATCTACAGAACACAATTTCACAAGATCTCATTTTTCAGTAGCTGTCATACACCTATTTAAAATTGTGCTAATATTAGAATTTGTATCTAGTATCTCCTAGTTTATATACCTGTTCCAGGACAGTGACTCGGAATATTCTAAAGTACAACTATAGCCTCCCATTAAAAAAGAATATGTGTTTAAGCACCTAAATGTGAGTGTGTCTGCACCTACAGTTTGCTCTTAGTCCACCTGTACAGTCATATGAATACCCATTGATCCTGCCAGTGAAGTCTACCTAATGCAGCTTCCTGTGATGGGGTGGCAACAATGCTGCACTGCTCCTGAATTCAGAGCACAGTTGCCACTCCCATGTGGGCCATGTCTGTTGCACTACAGTGAGATGAGAAGCTGTTACAGGCAGCTCACAGTGAGAAGAGCTGCAGTGTCTGGAAGGGGGGAGTACATGAGACACAAATGAAGGAAGATTTGGCTCAGTCAGGGAAGGTAAAGGAAGGGGTTTTGTTTCCTTAATGAGGTTTTGTACATTACATAGTCACTGGATTTGTACTTGTTTAGACTGTCAAACGGGCCTTTAGCTGTACTTTAAAGCCAGACGATCAGCAAGTCAGCCAGGCAACTTGCATTTTCAGAAAGAGGTCAGCAGTGGCAGCCTATGTAGCCTATGTAGGACAGGTTACTATTAATGTCTATTATGTTTTCCTTCTTTTACTACTCTTAGCCTGACGTATAATATCATTACAAGGTCTCAATAAGCTTCTGAGAGACTCGTATTTTTACCGATAATGTAAAAAACATTTTTTTTTCCACAACGGGAAAGCCGTCTTTTTGCCTCTCCGGTTATAGGAAAAGGCCCAGTGTATTGGAAAATCCAGCCCCGATGACCACATTGAATAGTTTAGGGCTTAATCGTGCATGTGCATTCAGAAATACTTCACTGCATTTACGGAAAAAACATATCTTATACTGTATATGTTTTATAGTGAAATATGAGCAAAACATTCCAGCCACAGGCCCATTTTATCACAGCATTATGGTAGATTTGAGGCCGTTTGATGTTAAAGCAGAACTGTAGGCACATAAAAAACAACATTTCATCCAGTTATGTATTAATTAAAACATATTTTCAGTTTGTACCTCTATTTATCTTTATATTACCCCTCTTCAAATCAGAGGGAGGGCCAGAACTGTAGGTTTGCTGTGACGTCAGTTTTAAGCTGCCCATACACCTTTGCGATCATCAGATAAAACTTTTCGTCCGATGATCGAACCGTCGTACGATTTTTCGTACGGCGGCCCCATCCTATCGCAAGGTTGAATCAGCAGTAATTAACAGAAAAGCACCTGGACGCATTGCGGAAATCGACCGCACGTATTTTCGTCTGCGCATGTGCAGTGTTAATCGTACGAATTTTGACGTATGGAAACGCCACCAACCTTGCGAAAATCGTACGATCGAGCAAAGTTTTTTAACCTGCTGGTTAGTCAAAAGTCGATTGATTGTACAGTATTCGCGGTTGTGCCCATCAAACTTACGAATATCGGACGAAAACGTGATAGCATACGAAAATCGGTTAATATTCGTAAGGTGTATGGGCAGAATAACACTGGAGATGAGAACACAGCAATGACCTTACCTGTGGGCTGCTGCTCCTTCATTGTCCAATCAATATGTTGGGCGGTGGGTTAATGGGGAAGCTTTATTGTTTGAATAAACTCATGTAGACAGAAATATTGAAATTGGCATTGCTCATTAAGTATTAAATAGGGATGAGCTCCCGTTCGGACCGGACCCAGTCCAAACTGAGCTCCTCCGAACCAGGAAGGAGCCCCTTCCAAACACGGAAGGAAGCTTCTTCTGTGCCACCCAATGAGCTGCTGGTGGGGAATTCCCTGCCCGCAGCCTGACATAAGAAAAGGGGCGGGACACAGTGACATCATTGACCTTACATGGCTACCTACCTATATTTGGTTACATTTACATAATGTGGCCGTATAAGGTAAATGATGTCAGTACAACTACCCCGCCCCTGTGTTTACATGCAGCTGCACCTGACCTGGAACAAGCATGTAGATACAAAACACCCGTTCTGAATGCTTATTCTGGGTAAATAGTGGTTGTCATACTTATCTGGTTACAGATTCACTTTTACTGGACTGGAGAAGAGTGACATCACTGACAAGGCTGTGCTATCTGGCACGGGTGTCTGGATCACAAGGCTGGCTGAGAAACATTTTTTGGCAGCTAAAACTATTTACATATGCATTTACATTATTTCAGCTGTGAATTAAACTGTTAAATCTACAGCTCTGCTATCGCCTAAAAGTAATGGTGTAGAAGGCTGACTTATTAGAAGCTTCAGAAACAGAGGCAAAGGTTCCTTTTTAAACCTAACAGTAAAGCCTGATGTCAGTCTTTGAAAGTAATGCAGTTTCCTTGTAATAGTTCTGTTTAATATCTCATCGTTATATAATACACCCTACACTCTTAAGTCCATATATTAAATATATATATATATATATTACACACAAACATACTGTATACAGTATTTATTTTATTAATCTGGAAATGATAGGGAGAGGGAAATGTCCCCCATTTCCTACCAGGTGACCCCTGGTTACACAGATCTTTACCAGTACAGCAATTGAGAGGAAATGTATTATTTATATATAACATCTAAAGCTGGTTGTACACGTAACGATAAATCATTGTAACATGTGTGGCCAGCATTAAAGCAAATCCTTTTTGAAGAATTAGATTCTTTAATTAAAACAATCATTATATTGACCGATTGTATCATCTACCCAGCATAAAATGGCAACCATATTGCTTACGTTAGAAGGAATAATTAAAAGAAAAATGATACAGCTAGGACCAGCCGGGTCCCATATGACTCAGAGTCTTTCCAAAGTGTGGCTGATGCTTATATGGCACATGGTTAATAAGCACAAATGAGATTCTATTCTTTAAAATAAAACATCTCTGTACTATATTGCAATGGCACATAAATGTATATGTTCAATATCAAAGAAAAATACTACTGTTAATAAAATATATATTTGCAATTACATTTTAAGAGGAACTTTACAGCTGTTAAAAATGTATGTACATCCTAAATGAAGTACACCTGCTTCGAATATGTTTCCATTACATAACATCGACTTTTGTATGTGGCCCATTAATGGGCTGATACGGCATACTGACATACTTTACACAGACATAAAACATTTACCCTGCTAAGAGTTTTCATTCCAAGGCACATAGCATTCATTCTGGCTGACTCTAATGTACAATTAGTGGGGGGTTGTGCTTTCAAGTATTTGCATGTATATTTTTCTGTTGAATACTGACAGCTTGTAGGGCATTTGTCGAGCCAAAAGTTCTTTGACAGATTTCCAGAATGCAAATTACATTAACATATAAAAGGAAAACCTTTGTTTTAACATATAAAAGGAAAAATCATGTATTTATTATGTATGTCTCTAATTTATACAGGTCTAGTAAGCAGTGTTTACTTTCATGTACATATCTTACGCACATGTTAGAAAATCTTTTCATTCTAATTGAGATTGCAATCTTTCCTGCCTTTTTACTGGCTGCCGCAGACAAAGTTCACTTCCAGATGATATAATAGGTAATTCATTTTCAACATGGTGCTTAATTAGATGACTCACATTTTCAAAAATATGATCTTTAGTCCTCACCTAGGAAAAAGAAACTCACATTATTGCTTCAATCTATGTGTGTTAGAGTTATACAAAATCAAAATGATGGCATTGATTTATAGACCATTCGCAGAATTATTGATGCTGCAGAATTGCATGTACATTAGTTCTGTACAAATTGAGGCAAAAACAAATGTTAAAGCATATTTTATTTCCAGGTCGAATGCAATATAGGGAAAATTCCCCATTCCGCCATTAGATGGAGCTGAAAAGCACAGGAAAGAAATACTTCTTTAGTATGCTCCTCTGCTCCATCTAGTGGCCATAATTCAGTATTGCCCTAATATTACATTTGAGCTGAAAAGAAAAAGAAAAGAAAATGTACTGAATATATATTTGTGTTCCTGTTTATAGTCTGTGCTGGCACATAGTTTTTAAAGTACAAGCCAGTTAAAACTAAACACTTCACTCCATTACAGAGCAAAGCAGCCAGCAGAATCTTTGCATTCGACACACCTCAACTTGTGCTGTCATTCCATCTGTAGGTCCCTATGTCACCAATGTGTCCTTTAGTGATTAGGTGGCTGGCGGATGAAACCATAACATACAGTGCGGCAGGGGAGGTGTGCATGTGGCGCTCCAAGAATTATCTTAGAAATTTCTGCTGACTGATTCAGACCAAGATTCCAGGAAGGAGAAGCAGGTCAAATGTGTATGAACAGGCTTCTTTCATACAATACTACTACAATACAAAGATGCACATGCGCAGTAGGAAGAGGACCCGGCTAGGACGTTTTCCTTGTAGAGGTTGGGCAGGACCACACAGTGAAGTATACGGAAGTGGGGAAGGTAAGTATTTTATCAGGCAGGCTGCACTCGGGGGGTGGGGTGTTTACTTAAAGGACAACTGTACTTTAATAAAAGATGAGTTGTAACAGCTCATTGCACCGCATTCTACAACAGACACCAGCCAGTACACATTTTAGCACGTGGGGTGGTGTGCAGGGCAAGATTTCCATTTTGGATGCCTGTAGGCACGAATTAAAATCTGTTTAGTCTGAGAAGGCCTCTGGCGTCGCGTACGGCTGCCTGAAACGCCTATCCGCATCAGACTCTATGGACGGCACCTGTAGGTACATGCCTACTCTTCCTAATGGTAAATCCAGTCCTGGTGGTGTGAATGAGCCATTATTCACCAACAGAATAACAATAATGTGGACACGAGAACATCATCATTTTATAGCCCCACAGGTAGCCCTTAATAAAACTGTACTGTATCAAAGGAGGGACAGCGTTGTTGCCCTAGGCATGACTACATAACACCTTCTCCTACTCTCCTCATATTCATGTCATGGGCGTAGTGTCTTGTAGTCCACATAGAAAGCTGGGGAAAAGTGCTAAATGATACCAGTAAGCAGAGGCAAAGCACAAAGAAAGTTTGTTTTTGTTTTTTTAAACAGGTGTAGCAAAAAACTTTCAATGGTATAATTACACCAAAAGGGAGCAAATGAGAATAAATGTATAGCTTGGCCCTGCAACTGTATTTGAAAATGTGAATTATGGAATGATCAGATCTATGAAATGTTTAAAGAAATCTGCAGACAACAAGTAAAATAAATCAATGAGCTACTAATGTATTCCAACAAATGCAGCAGCTGTTCTTGCATCCACAAGCTTTCCCACAATGCAAAGTGTTCTCTGCTTGGAGGCGACAGGTCCTGGTATTCATCCACACGTCCTCCATTCACAGAACACAAAATACTACTAGTTCTGTGAATGGGTGAGAGAGGAGAAAGGGGAGCATGCAACAATGGCTCACTGTCGCAACTGCTGATCTTAACCCCCGCAATGCCAGACGATCATCACTGTGGGGAGTATCTGACATCATTGGAGGAAAGATTTCTACACTAAGGAGCAGCCAGAAGAACATGGGACACACTTCATTAGAGGAAAAAGTGTAACTAAACTTTAAGCTTTGAGGTTGTATCTCCCAATCTATCTTTACTTCTGTGTTTTAGTATACACCTGTAAACTGAGGTGTTTACCTTTCCCTCTGGGTCCACCAACAGCAGATGTTTCGGGTGTCCTTCGTGTAATCCACTTAATACATATTGACCAATGGAAGTAGTGCTCTCTCGAACCAGAAAATCTCCATCATGAAGGAGGAGGCTTTCTGTTACATTTCGATTCATTCTGCCATGAAACCACTCTTCTCTTTGTATGGAGCTGCTGACAGGTAGCTTTCCACTTTCACATAGGTACCCAGGATCAAGAGTCACTTTAATTACAAAATAAAGAAAATAAAATCATCACCTATAACATACAATAGTTACATAGTTACATAGTCAGGTTGAAAAAAGACACAAATCCATCAAGTTCAACCTACAGAGAGAAGAAAAGAAAGAAAAGAAAAAAAAGAAAAACCTCCTAAAACATAACGCTATGCCCACAGTTACTCACAGCTGATCCAGAGGAAGGCAAAAAACCCCTATAAAGCATGGTTCAATTTGCTGCAACAAGGGAAAAAATTCCTTCCTGATTTCATAAAGCAATCGGATATTCCCTGTTAATATCTAGTAACATTTTGTGCATTTAGGAATGCATCCAGACTTCTTTTAAAACAGCTAACTGAACTATCTAGAACTAGCTCCTGAGGAAGTCTATTCCACATTTTCACAGCTGTAATTGTGAAGAAGTCTTTCCGTATGCAAAGGTTAAACTGCTTTTCCTTCACAGGTTTTGTATGGCCGCATTAGTCTGTAACCAAGCTTTCTGGAGATCTAATCAGCAGAAACACATTTTTAGTGAACATTTTGAATGAAAAGCTATATGAACTGAATGCCTTATATATCAAATTAACTTTAGCTAATCTGTCATCATATGTAATAAAGTAGAAGTATGTGCTAAATAAAATATGTAATATATAATGTAGTCTGTCGCTAGCGCTAGGCAGCATTTTCTTTTTCTGATTCCCCTCTATATAGCTTTATTACTTGTTGCTCCTGACAATAGATCTGTTATGTTTCCACTTCCTGCAATAGGGTATATATTGTTTATCTGGATTCTTTTTTTTTCCTGTGTTGTATGTTTTTGTCAGCTGGTTGAAGCAGTCATCTTGACCAGCCTAAAAAAGGAGAAGGGGAAAAGGAGGAGGGAGTGAGGTGGAGGGGACTTGGCCTTGGCTTTCTGTATGCAGCTCTGACCGATGACAACTGACTAACTGTGTATCAATGACAATCAGGTATTGGGCATTATTTTCACTTGCATATTGCTTTCTTGGTTCACACTTACACAGATTGCTATTGGTGAGAATATATAAATTGGAGATTAAAGAAACCTTGGCCAAAGAGACTACAGTTACTGGTCAACTGTTAACCCATAGGATACATCCTTTTTTGTGCATCTGGGGATTCCTGGGAATCCCAAATGGGCCCGTACAGATGCGGCTGGTGTGCCCATTCAAGTTAATGACAAGCTGGCAGTGGCTGCATCTGTCTGTGACTGTCCGCGGCTGTCCGCATGTAATTGTATACGGAACAATTACCTGTGGATCTGGATGTATGCTTGTCCCTGGATGCAATCTGTCCAGTGGCTGCTGTCAGCCCTTCAATCACTTGAATGGGCACAGTGGCCCCAAGTGTATGACTGAGATCCTCTGTCCTCCCTAACAACTACTTTCATTTGATTTTTTTTTTTATTACAAATTAACTAAACTGAGACATACATAAACAGTCCAAGTAGTCTGGAGAAGTTAGAGGTTGTAGTTGGTTGGGGGGGTGCAGTGCTGGCATTTGTAGCTTTACACACTTTTTCACTGATATACTGGATTTGCTGTGAATTTTAATAAAGTCTGCAGTATTGGAATTCTCTGGATAGTGCGGTCTGTTCGTATACTGCTGCATTCTAAGGTGGAGACGCACCTATTGGACCAGCACCTGGGGAGTCCTGATGGTGGCTAAGGAATTGGAGCGGTGAGATTTCCTTTGGCTCTACAGTCTGGAGAACTGCAATTCTACAATTTAAGTTAAAAGATGTCTGTGGATGATTCAATATTATGTTGCTTTGCAAAAACTGGGAAGCTGTCAGGTTTTTCCTGTACTGTAAATTGAAATACATTTTGGATTATTAGGAAATTCTAAGTCAAATTGTCATTGTTTATTAAAATATATCTTATTACATTTCAGCTATTCAGAAGTGCCTGATATGAGTTTCCATTGAAGATACACCTTATATTACACACTGAACAGCAGCATGGTCAGCCCAGAGTAATACATACGGTATTATGATACAACCTAAAATGAGATAATAGACAGTGATTCGTCATAATAAAGGACTGAAAATATTCCTGTGAATTTGTTAATTCACTTTGTCAAGGGTCTGGATGGTCCTGTGGATGTTTTCTAATATGGTGGAGTAGTTAAGGTGTGTGGTTGGGGTAGGACATGGGGGTTTAAATAAACTTTAAGTGAGGGACTTTATATAAGAGGCAAAAAAATTCAAGCCTTAAGCCAGCTAATGCTTGTTTTCTCTAGGATGCAGGTTTAAGTAATATGAATAAAAGTTGACCGTTCTAAGCACCGCCATGTGCTATATGGTTTTATTCCAACTCTGTAACTCCACTTTTACTGGACAGCTTGACCTGTTACTGGAAGTGGAAAAATAATGGATCTGCTGGCAGGATTAATAGGTAATAAAGCTATGTTACGTGAAGGACTCAAAAAATGCTGCTTTATTTACATAATGTATTTTTTATTTTTCCTATATTTACACTTTAAAGTGTTTCTAAACCCTCAGCTTTTTTTGCATATATCTACTGCTAGAAAGCAGTAGATATATGCAAAAAATGTTTAAAAAAACAAAAAACGCTTTAACTGTGGTTTAAACTTACCTGTGTCTTCACCCGCGCGCTCCCATCCGAAAATGTGAAAATTCTCGGGCGTCCGCAAAGGATATTGGGGCGGCGCATGCGCAGTTCACATTTTCGGCTGGGACGCGAGGAGGGACGCAAGGTAAGTCTATGGACGCGTGCATCCGCATGCAGACACCGTGGGACAGGAAGTGCCAGCAAGCCCAGAGGAGTCAGCGCTGGATTGGACACCCGCCGCAGCCCTGGAAAGAAGGCTGAAAACATCAGGAAAGAAGAAGAAGATCGGATTAAGAGACATCATTTAAGGTAAGTGTTTTAATTAACGTTGGGGTGAGGGGAAAAAAAAGCCTTTAATGTCACTTTAAGCTGTTATTAAATAAACATTTTCATATACTATGAAAGAAAAAAACAGGCAACCTAAATCATACATGATTTAATTATGTAAATATCCGCATAAGAATAAAATATATACTAATTTGCAAACCTGAATTTATATAGGCTTTCCTGGAAACCTGAGTTTTATCTGGACTTTGTGTTTTTGGCACTGTGTTTATGTAAGATGGATCATCAAAAAGTTCTTCTCGACCTGTTGTCACATCCTGATCAGAAAGACCTACGGAAAAAAAAGAGAGGAATCTGTGTTTCTAGGATTCATTCAATTCAAATATTTTGTCATTGTTGAATCACAAAGAACATAAACAGGCTATAGACATTTCTGATTTCTCCAATTCAATAACACACGGGAAGGGAAAGATGCAGTGTGCAGAATATTAAACATATCTTACCTACAGTCTTCTCGTTCTCTAAGCAGTTTTCATATACGTTGACACTTTTCATGTAACTCACCTGGAAATTAATCAAGATATTTTTCAGAACACAGAAAACATAATACGTTTATATCATATGTCTAAGGGCTCATTCCATTTGAACACAAACATCTGCATTGAATAATAATTGCATTTGACAAGAAAAGGCTGCTTGGGTGAGCGCTCATCGGAGTACCTAATCCAGTCGATTGCCTTTACCCACGAGGACCGACCCTGGCATACCCTCTCCTCCCTTTCTCTCCCATTATCTGTGATCCCCCAACCCCCTCTTCTCTTCTCCTTTTCTCCCAACTCTGCTTTCCTTGCCGACTCTGCTTGGAAGGGTGACACCAAAGTGACACCAAAATGACTGACAATCATTTTGGTGTCAACCCTTCTGAAAAGTCGGGCACTCGGTCATGGACCAGGAGCCCGATAGTCTCGGGAGAGAGGAGGGGACCCGGCGGCATACCTTATCCCGCCGGGTGACTGTCCCCTCCAGCAGGTATCAATATGATCGCCGTGCATGCGCGTGACGTCATCTTATTCATCTTACTGATACCTGCCAGTGGCCATCTTGGTGATGGATGCCGGCAGAGAGAGGAGGGGATGACATCACAACGGGGTGTCACCCGGTAACCGCTCCGGGTGACACCCAGCCTCGGGACGCCCCTGCAACTACATATGATATTTTGGCAGAATAGTGCACGGAAACATGTCATGTTACAGTCAATACTCCTTTCGGAGGTAATATGATGCTCGCTGATTTCTTTGTTAGGCGCTAAATCCAGAAGGTACCTCCTCTGCTTCACGGCTTCACGCCACCCATCAACCTGCACTTCAGTTATTCCCAAGCGGAATACAGCCGAGATGCAGGGAGGTCAGGACTTCTGCTGAATTCACGGATGGTATTGTTGGGCTTTTATATCTTTATGGATTGCCAATGCTTATTCTTGACTTGTAAGCTAATAATACTTTTGCACTATCACATTCTTATTTCTGCTGTCTAAAAAAACACCTGCTCTGGCCTCAGTCTACTCCATGTTTGTGCCTTTTACCGTTATGTCTAACCTTTGTCAGCAGCAGAACTCTGATTGCTACTTGCCCTAACTCAGCAGCATCAGCTGCCATTGGGAGGAAAACCTATAAACTGAAATCTAAAGGTGCCCATGCACCTTACAATTTATCTGCAGATTTTCTGTGGTCAGATGGAAAAAGTGCAACAGATTGGCCCAGGTGGAGATTACTCCATCCACACAGGTAAGTGTAGATGGAGGAATCGGTTGCACCTTTTCCATCTGACCATAGAAAATCTGCAGATAATTTGTAAGGTGTATGGCCAGTTTAAGAGAATCACACATCTAAATCCATATTCTCTTGTGGAGAGACTTGATGCATTCTTGATCCTATGTCTACACCTTCCATTAAGGTAGTCATGTAAGTCTTTCACAACAGAGATTTTCACTCTAGTGGAGACTCCTGATTGGTTGTCAGTCTCTCTGCATACTCTGGAGATTCTGAGTGATTACAAGTGTGAAATCAGGCCTAATGTTTTACAGCAGTCCTACAATAAGAATGTGTGCCAAGGGTACTTAAAGTGGGAGCTGAGAAGGCTAATTTACTAAAGTATGAAGTGAGGAGAAAGAAAGTGAACCTGTAAGTACTTCAGACATCCAGTAATACACAGGGGTGCACTTCACCTCATTTCACACTTTAGTAAATCAGGCCCATGGCATGCTATTCCTAGTGTAGATTATATCATGTGAATTTATATCATAAAATATACTAGTAAGAGCACCTTTTATATAAAAATGGTGAAAACTAAAGGGCACTTTATGTCTGAACTCTGTATACTGTATATACAGTAAATAGATAGATAATATATACAGATATAAAAATGTACATATTTGCTTCCCCATTTTACTCTTGTAATCATTTAAAATAAAAATAGTTCATGTAAAATCAGGCAGAGTTTACCTTTGAGTTTTGCTCATCAGAGTCAAGGCTGAATCCTGTTGTTTCAACTTTCATTCTTTTATCAAGTACCCCTCCAGCAGGGGGCTCCTTTCCTGGTAACTCATTATAGTATTCGTGGCCTTCCTCTTCTTTTACCGCCACATTAGAAAGGCTTGACAGATCACTAGACAGGAAAAGAAAAAGTCAGAATAAAATCACTGGGATCAATATATCAACTTTGCCAAACAGCTAAGTAGTGCAGTACACAGAAACAGTGATACATTTCATGAAATAGATTTATGATAATGTTGCAGATCACATAGTTGTCAACTCCCCTATCTTCTACCAACATAACACATGGAACTCCCTCTTCCTAAAAGTATAAGTGAAAAACTGTTACCGTTGTTGTGATAAATCTGCAGCAAAACCAGAACCGCTGTAGCTACAGGGCTCATTAACACTGACAAGAACTGCTGCAAATCTTTAGGATAGAGGCAGATCATTTTTCCCTAGACAGGTTCCTGATTCTCTGAGTGACTGGATAAACCTTTATGTAAATGCCACCTGTGCTCCAGTAATTGTATCAGATGAAAGCAAACTCTTGAAGTTGCATGTAGCCAACAAGTTCTGTACCCTCCACTTATCATAAAGGTGAAATGGGGTCCACAGTCCATCTCTGGTGGCAGTCAGATGTAACACAGCTCAGCAAATGCAAAGATCTTCACACACATGTATTAGTGTCAATAGGGTAGTATTATCACATATGATTACAGCTATTACTCTTACTCTTTATAGTATCTTCTAGTTTAGGTTGTGATGAATAGGATGAAATACCTTATTCCTCATTTCCAGTCTTCCCCTCTGTTGTATGGCTGGTCCCCAGAGGTTGCTCCCCTCTGCTGGTCATGATTTTCAATGGAGCTGTCTTAATGTACAGCTCCATGTCGCCCGTCGCTCGCCTGCCATAACCTTTTTTCGGTGGAGGTCGCGCGATTTTCTATTTCTTAATGCAGCCCGACGGTGAAGGTCACGCTACCGTCGCCCGGAAGTCGCACTATCCCGGCCGCGCGGATCCGCTCCTTAACCTCCCTGGCGGTATGATTATGTCAGGAATTTTGTGCCAAAAGCGGCACATTGTTTTTCATGGAAATTTGTTGTTTTATATTGTAGGCCTGTAATTCTTAGTACATCTTAGGAATAACTCACCTAAATCTGTCCAAACAAGAGTCCAGTAGACATCCCAGGTATGATAAAGTTTGAAACACGAAATTAAAAAATTATAATATAATAAATTATAAATAATTATAAGAAATTATAATATAATAAATAATTATAAAAAATTATAATATAAATATTTAAAAAAATGGTCCAGTAAATGGGAATTCTGGGGGCGCAGCCTGATCCGTACCACAGTCAATAGAGTACCAAGTTCGCACATCACTGAGCTCGGTCGCAGAATCGTCGCTGTTTTAGGTCAAAAGCGGTTTTAGACCAGGTAGAAAACAGCGATAGTAAATTAGAACTACTTGCAGAATTGAGTGATAGCGATTCGTTGGGAAATTCCTCAACAGACACTGAAAGTGAGGACAGCGAGGATTCTGCGACCGAGCTCAGTGATGTGCGAACTTGGTACTTTATTTACTGTGGTACGGATCAGGCAACGACCCCAGAATTCCCATTTACTGGACCATTTTTTTAATTATTTTATTATAATTTTTTATAATTTTTTATTATATTATAATTTCTTATAATTGTGAAAAAGTGTCAGGCAGGGCAGTGGACAAAGCTCTAGGGACAAAATTGAAGTGAAATAGTTTGATACATAAGTGTAATCATAGCCGATTACATTGTATTGTGTGTATTCTGTGTACATTACAACTTTTCACTTTTGAATTTCCCGGCTTCACTTTTGAGATGCCGGCTTTTAGTTTCATTTTCGAGCCGCGTAAAGCAGAGGACGCCGCGGGATCGCAGGGACAGGGTGAGTGTCACTTTTCTCTGCAGCCCTGAGTCTGGCTCGGGGTTACCACTCCTAGCATTGAAAATTCACCCCGAGCCAGACTCGGGAATACCGCCAGGGAGGTTAAGGTATGCCGCTCAGTGTGAATGGGGCCGAACACTTGCAGCACAAGTTCTAGTTGACACTTTTTGAATTTGTAGCAGATTTGCTAGGCAAGTCTACAACAAGAGTCATGCAGGTCTTAGCAAGAGCTCTGCAAGTGTACAGCACTTTTGCAAAGCACGTTGATCTGGAGACTTGCAATGCAGACTTGCTGTAATTATTGCAAAATTAGCAATAGTTTAGCAAGTCATTTTCAAACTTGCAGCTCAATTGCTTGCTATCTGGGAACTGTTTGTATTGCCTCATACTACTTCAAATTTTCATTCTACAGATTCCCTTTTTTAGGGTAGAATGGTGGGAATGAGTCTATAAAGATAGTTCCTATATGAGAAAGGTTAGTAAATAGGCCAATGGTAATATACACAGACATTCAAGTGCTGCAAATCAACAAAATAATTTAGTAGTGTTTCGGGAAAAGTCTACACAAGATGTTCAAGCGATTTATGACTTTAGATGTCTTCTGTGAGAGATTTGTCAAATGTCGACTCTAGAACATTATTAGAGTGGAGCAGTGAGTGAAGGAAGTTGGGGGAGGGGAGTGATAATAATTGATATATTAGATTTCTTGATGGTTTTGTTCAATGGGGCATGGGAAGCCGAATGAATGATTATTATGGGAGAATTGGACTGATCTAAAACTTCCACCACTGGTGGCGTGCGTATCTTTTCCATCGCAGCCCTTTCATATATTATTTTATCGCATACTTTCTCCCCAGGTCAGGAGGTTAATGTCATTTTTTTTGTTGATTGCCACATCTGGAAGTTTTCATGTAAAACGTCTTATCATCTTGCATTACAACATTCTGCGGCCTCCAAGGATTTCTCAGTTTCCGCGCTATTCTCCTCGGAAGATAAAGTCTTTTTTTCATGAGATAAAGTAAAAACATGGTTTATTTTAATTGGCAAGCACTCTAAAACCTCTCCATGAAGCACTCAGTGGAAACGTCTGTATTTTATTTCCCAGAACCGCGAGGGGAGAAAAAGCATTTCCTTTCCCTTTACTTGTGGATGTTTTCAATTTGTACAACTGGCGATATACGTTGCGCTTTGTTAATTGCCCTTAAAGAAGTATTTTAACCAAAATGTAATTCTATGTATAGGGCACACAAACATTTTGTACTATATACTATATATATATACATATATATATAATGAATGTGCATCCTTTACTTAGATGTACCTATGCATTCCCATTGCATATCCATGACATTTCCATTATTGCATGCTAATTGTCTTGTATGGGTGAAGGAAGTTTATTATACAAATAAACCAAAGTAGCAATTCCCACTGCATATAACTTTAAGTGAAGATACTTGTAAAAACCTCTGTGGGGTTTTTATTGCTCTCTGGGGTTGATATACTAGAACATTGTAGACTGTTCACTTAGCAGTGAATTTTCACTTTCACACGGCCCCTTTCACATCCTCTGTTCAGATCAACAGGGGATCCATTCACACTCTTGTGACATCTGTGTGCTTTAAGTTTTAAAATAACTACCTTACTAAACTAGCCAGACCCACGTTAGGTCTATGGGGAGTCAGATATAAGTGGACATGTGTCCATTTACATCCTATTACCTCTGATCTGTCCCAGTCAGGTCCGCCAAATTGTTGCTTTTTTTTTGTAGATGGACTCAGAGCTAATTATTATTATTACATAGTATTTATATAGCGCCAACAGTTTGCGCAGCGCTTTACAATGTAAGGAAGACATTACAATACAATTCAAGACAGGATGGTAAGGAGGACCCTGCCCCTGAGGGCTTACAATCTGAAAGAGGAGCGGGAAATGATACATGAGGAGGTAGCTGTGTGGGGATGAATTGTTTGAGAATGTGATGGTTCAGTGGTTAGGTTGAGGTGGGATAGGCTTCCCTGAAGAGAAGAGTCTTCAGGGAACGCCTAAAGACAGTCAGGGTGGGAGATAGACGGACAGGTTGGGGTAAAGTGTTCCAGAGGATGGGAGAGACTCTAGAGAAGTCCAGGAGGCGAGTATGGGAGGAGTTGACTAGGGAGCTGGAAAGCAGGAGGTCTAGGGAAGAGCGGAGTGGACGGTTAGGGTGATATTTTGAGACAAGGTCTGAGATATATCCGGGGGCAGAGTTGTGGATGTAATCAGATGTACTCAGAAGCACGTCTGTTTACAGTCGATGCCCCATAGACTAACAGTGATCTTTTGATTAGGTCCGCCTGAAAAACTGACAGGCGGACCTGATGGGAACGTTGTGTGAAAGGGGCTTTACTGAACTCCATTATCATGTAATTAAATAAATCAATAACTAAAAAAAAAAAAACAGTAAAATAAACACATATACAGTATAAGCACAGGGACCTACCTCTCATCTTTGAAGGATGGACTTTTCAAAAACTGTTTGAAACGCAGTTCAAAAGCTTGTCCAATAGTGTTGATCACCTCTTGGGCTTTACTGTTTGGGCACTCTAAAATGTGGCATGCTAAAAAAAAAAAGTCAAGACACCCCCCTTTAAAATATTACTCTGTAGAAATCATTATCCTTTAAAAATGATTATTCATAACTAATACTAAGAGTCTGTTCATGCCAGATCGACTTAAATGCAAACTGCAGATCAATGCACCCAAAATGCAGCACTCAGGACTTTTGGGGGTTCATTTATAAAAGTTCTATCAAGTGTATAGCTATCATCTAGGGGTGCTAGTGCCATGCAAACGGTTTCCGCTTAGCTATGCCAGGCAGAACTTTTGTAAATGTACCCCTTGGTGTGAACAGATTCCAAAGAAAACAATACATTTTGAGCGCACTCGAAAATGCAGCAAAATGCCAGAAAACACATCTGGTGGGAATAACCTGTGAAAAAAACTGTTGGATTTGTTCTCTTTGAAATGCATAATAAAGAAGTAACACTGACATACTGTATGCCAAAGCAATACAGTCCCAACTTTTCATAGGTCTATAGTGTACAATCTTAGTTTTTAATCATGAATACATTCAAAAATATTGAATGCTTGTTCACACCATGTCCATTGATCTGCAATTTTCTGCACGCTATGGAACATGTATGGTGTGAATGGGGCACATAGGTCATTTTTTACCAGGTTCCCAGTACAAACCATACATGTGCAGTGGTGTGCAGAAAAACGCAGCTCAACGGACCTGGTGTGAACAGACCCGAAGTGTCCTGCATGGAATATAACCTTTTTAAATATTTTTATATATAACCTACTATATAGATACAATAGGCCATCTTTACCGCAGGGCAAAAGGGGCAACTGCACTGGGCCCCATAATTTACAGGAAAAGAAAAAGTGACTATTTGTTAGCTTTCTACTGTCATCTCTGAGCCTGATGAAGGGGACCCTGTGGTGCGCTGGTGACATCTTCTAAACTTTCTAAACCATAATTTACACGGGCCCACAGCAGCTGTCCCTTTCGCCCGCAGCAGCAGGCAGGAGAGCAACGGCATTGCTGGTGGCAGGGGTGGACTGGGCAGGGGGACTGCTGGCATGTTGACAGCCAGGGCTGAGTCTAGTATAGGTAGCTGCCTGTGGGGTGATTGACAGGTGGTGGCAGCTGGATCTGTAGGGCACACAGGCCTGGGACGCACGGCTGGAGCCTGTAGAGAGCCGAGGCGAGCGGCCGGTGAGTTCTGGGAGCAGCCGGAGCTGGGCTCATCTCTACCCATTGTCTGCAGCTCCAAAGAGCGGAGCGCCTGGCTGGCAAAGGATGATGCTGTGGATGGGAAGGGGAACCCAGCCTGGGGGGGATGCTGAATGTGGATGGGGCGGTGTGCAACATGACTGTGCAGGGCATAGAGAGCAACATCAGTGCTGGGTGTGATGAGGATTTCCATTACCGTATTTTGTAATTTCATTGAGTATGCTGTCCTCAGAGAATAGACCTGTGTGTCAGGCTTCATTGCAGCTGACCACCATGAGCACCATCACTACTATCACTACTACTATTGCCTTTCAGAGTCCTGAGTCTGTTGCCTTATTGCACTGAACTATAGAAATATATTATTTATTTATTTCATTTTTTCATTTCTTTTAGGGTGAAGGTGATGTAAGCGGATACGGGTCTGGGTCATGAAGTAGGGGGTAGGGTGATGGAGTCAGGGAGGTTGTGGGGGCCCATAGCAAAATTTTGCCCAGGACCCAATTAATATTAAAGCCAGCCCTGTGTACAATAGGCAGAAACCATACAGATTCTGGAGCACAATTAGCAGTAGGATGTTTAAGGAAAGAAGGAAACAATGGAAGAGCTGCTATTCTAGTGGCCATTAGATGGCAGTATTAGTTAAGTTTAGCAAAGCTGTAAGAAAAGAGAGTGCCCGGTCATACATACAGTACAGTACTTTCCATCCTTATGCTAGAAGTGTCTCAACAGGTCACCGGCACACACACAGATGAATTCAATATCTCTTTCATCTGTTTATTGATAAATGTCACAGAATATCATTAGAAGCTGAAGCTAGCATTTTTTGGACCTCACCAGGAGCCTTCATTACAGTGACATAGAGACCTGGCATTTTTCAATACACAGATCAAAGAGATATTGAATTCATCTGTGTGTGTGTGCCTGTAACCTGATGAGACTATTCTGAGTTTTGCACGGCTCCATCCGCGTGATCACCAGAGCACCACCACCATTGGAAGGTTGCAGACCGTAAGGAGTGTGGGTGGTTCTTGGAAACAATTCTGCTAAAAGTGGGTATTGTGCTTCCTATTAAAAGTGGACAACCCAAACATTTATACCGAATGTGAAAGTGAGGGATTCCACCAATCAGATCCGGTAATCACCTACTCCACCAAGATCCCACCAATCTGCTGTATTCAGACTTAGCAATGCAAAGTGTCTCCAAGACTGCAGCTGTCCTTGGAGTACCTCTGCTATTTTCTAGTGTGGCACATTTCTTTTTGTCTCATTACAGCTGGCAGGGCTTACACCAGCAGGTCCATATCAGAGGGCCAAAACAAAAGATTTCCTCTCACAAATTTGGCGACATGTGTACCGCGTTTTTTCCTGCACGTTCCTATATGCACAATCGCATTTGGGGTGGAGTTCTGCGCTTGTGCACATATCGTGAACGTGTGTGGAAGTGCGCACTTTTGTGCACATTTGACGGGCGTTCACAATACGCCATGATGGGATGGGGCCTAAGAGGTAAAGCACCCGCTGAATTTAGGGGGTAATGGGGGTGGTCCCATTGGACAATTGTCACTAGAACCGATGTCCCCATTAGAAAAGTATACTTCCTGTTTGGGTGAAAACCCCCAGAAGGGTGTATAAAAGTTAAATACAGTATGTCAGGCTAGAAATTGCATATGCCGCATTTAAAATGAGATTACACAGATCCATTTTTTAAATTATTATTATACAAGATTTATATAGCATCAACAGCTTGTGCAGCGCTTTGCAAAATATGAGACAGTGCAGTTACAGTTAGAGATTCACCGAAATTTCGGCCACCAAAACATATCGGCGGAAAATGGCACTTTGGGCAAAATGCAGAAAGTACCATCTTTCGGCCGAAATTGTAGTACGTCCATAATTTCTCTCCTTCCCGCTGTGCGCTGCTCTGTGTCCCCTCTGACACAGCGCAGCTTTGAGGATAGAAACTCTCAGGAGCCGAGCGAGGTGGGAAGGAGAGCTCTGTGAGCATGTCACAGGAGGCTGAGCTCCCCGCCCCGCTCAGCCTCCTGCACAGATCAGGAAAGCAGTGTGTCGGTGGAGACAGCTGTCACAGGAGGCCGAGCCCGAGGCGGGGGGGTCAGATGTCAAATGAGACCAAGCTTTTCTCCCCGCACAGCCCACTCAGCCTCCTTCGAGAGGCGATCCAGGCTAGAGAGGAGTGTACAAAGAGTCAGCGGTAAATGAGCGCTGATTGTTTGTAAATAACTGGACGTAGTATGAGTTACTATGTACCAGTTATGAATGAATGGGAAGTGATCTATATTGTAATGGTGGACATAGTAACTCATACTGAATCCACAATGTATGAATGAACAGGAACACTCAGTACAGTGTAGAGGATTCCTGTTCATTCAGTGCTGGGGGTGAAGAAAAGGAGATTGAAGACTCTGTTTAGACCCCTGATATTTCACCGAAGCTCCCAGTAAGGCTGGGTTCACACCTGTGCATTTTTTTATGCTTGTTTTTCAGCTCGTTTTTCAGTTCAGTGAAACGCTCGTTTCACTGGCGGTATGATTTTTTTTTCCCTTTATTTTCTCTATTTTAAAAAAAATATTTTTTTCTTTTTTAGTTTCGCCGCTCGCAAGGGACGGAACGCAGAAGTCGGCAGCCGCCAAAGACACAGCAGGGATCGCGGACAAGGTAAGACCTGTACGCTGTATTCCCGAGTGTGGCTCGGGGTTACCGCTTTGTTAACCCCGATCCACACTCGGGAATTCCAATGGAAACGCACGGAAAAATGCCACAAAGAAGCTCCTGTACTTCTTTGGGCATTGTAAAACGCCCAGGTGGGAACCATGCCCATAGGCAATCATTGGTTTTCACATGTTGAGCGTTTTACAGCGCGTAGGAACGCGCTGTAAAACGCCCAGGTGTGAACCAGGCCTTAGAATCTCATTCCATACAAGAGGATCAGAAGGACGAATTTCGGCTGTTTCCTTCTGAATCAGCTGAAATTTGATCCATGGGAGGCCATGCTGGCTCCTCCCTACTCACATCGACTTTTTCAATCAACTTTTGTCTAAGGAGCTGTGTGGAAAATTGTTGGCCAAACAGTGACTACAACCAATCAGCTACAGTAACTGTTCAGCTATTCTGAGAACCACAGGTGCCAGCTGCCCGAATACAATAGCAGACAGGGGAGATTACTTCATCCACACTGTTTAGAATGGATGGGGGAATAAAAAGATTTAAGAACAATCGTAAGGTGTACAGCCAGCTGTAGGTGGCTACATTATACTGTTTATCCTTCACTCTTCTCTATAGCAAAGTGCAAGACTGTGGCTTGCACACAGGGACATTTTGCAGCAAACCAGAAATCAACAGCTGCAGTAATGAGCACCTAAGCTTACCTGATGTGGCACAGGAAATGGCTTTAAAATTGCACGTGATCCTGTTTGATACTTTAAATATAAGACAAAGCAACAAAAAAAGAAAACTTTCCTGACGCCAATACATGGCAGCATTGACCATCTCTCAAATCAACATGTACAGCTGTGACAACAGCAAGTGGAAGAGAGTGACAGGGGATCTATAACATGTGATTGCAAAGCAATGTACAACTACTGTATGTCTGTGAAGGTTCTCATTCTTCCAGGTCATGGTATATCTGTAAAAATAAGTCAAGGCAACTGGACTTGCTGTATTTTTTTCTGCAAAACATTTCACTGGTCATCCGACCAGCTTTATCAATTCAGAATTCTAAATTGAAAAAGCTGGTTGGATGACCAGTGGAACGTTTCCAAGAAAAGAATACAGCCAGTCCAGTTGCCTTTATCTATTTTTACAGATAATGTACAACTATGCACAAAATGTCACAGTGCACTTTCATTTGACAAAATGTGTGGCACAGATTACAATCATACCTCTTTGGTTAACTGGATCCTTGGCAACGTAAGCAACATAATCAGTGGTGTCCTAAAATAAAAATAAATATCATATTCAAATATATAATGATACAAATAATAATAATAAAGTAAATTAATACTATGCCATATAAAATATTTTGTTGTAGCCTTTCTGTTGTATCGGTTTTGTTAAACCAGTAATTTTCTGAGACAAAATCTCTCTTGTTGCAAAGAAGGATTTAAGTTCCTAAAAGTCCCTGATACCTGCATTGCTGAGAACTATTGAGCTGCTCGATGACTGCACAAGGGGTCTCCTTATGACGATTCTCATATTCATGAAAGCTTTCACTTATCTGGCTATAATGGGCATCATGCACTCATACCATATAATAGGAGGATATTAGATTTCACATTCTACTTCCGAGACTGTGTAAAAAAAGAAAAAAGAAAGCCTTTTTTATTTTTTGAGACCACAGGCTTCAAATATCCTTTTCATTACTGATTTGCATATTGAAGTCCTGAGTATTGAGCCTTAAAGGATAAGTGCACTTTAAAACAAAGTGCACTTATCCTTATGGCCCCTTTTAGGTAACCTCACCGATCCCTCGCTCCCCTTGCACAGATGAATACTTATCTAGTTCCGATAGTCCCGTCCTCCGCTGTTTAATGACATTCTGCTGTGGACAAATCCTTTTCCTGGCTTTGCCTGCACAGTAAAACCTCAATGACTTCTATGGGGTCTCGTCTACCTCCGTCGCCTGGCCGGGAGACAGCCCCATAGAAATCTATGGGATTTACTCCACAGGTGTGGGCAGGAGAAGGAGACATCTTAAACAGCGGAGGACATGTCTGTCAGAACTTGCTAAGTATTCATCTGTGCAAGGGGAGCGAGGGAGCAGTTAGGTTATCTAAAAGGGTCCAATTATTGCACTTTGTTTTAAAGTAGAACTATGGGGTTAGGGCTTTTCCCCATAGTTCTCCTAAGGGTAACAGAAGGAAACAAACTAGTGTCCTCCCGTCACACTAAGCTCAGTATACCGCGAGCCACAGCTCGCGGTATACTGAGATGCCGCAGCTGAAACGGATCCCGACAATTATGTCTGGATCCGCCCAGCTGCGTGAGTGACAGCTGGCTCTGCCTATCTAGAGGCAGAGCCAGCTGTACCCGCCCCCTCCCCCATCCGTTCCGCCAGTCAGCGCTGGAGGATTGGAGCGGGGAGGGGGGAATCCAGTCCCTCCCCTGTCACGGCACCCTGCCATGACAGGATCGAGAGGTGAGCGAACGCCGGTATGTGTTCGCTCACCTCCCGATCTACTGAGCCGACCTGTGACAGTCTCATTGTCACAGGTCGGCTAGAACTATGAGGATGAGTGAAAAGCACTCACCTCATAGTTCTCCTTTAAAGCGCACTTATCCTTTAAGATTTTTTTTTCTTTAGAAATGTTGATAAAATAAATCAGTGGGTAACCCATAGAGTAGGAAAATATCAAACTGATCAACTCTGTATAAACTAACCCAAATGTGCCCTTTATTACAAACACTTATCAAACAAAAGTTGTTCCTGCCAGATGATCATTATGTCTAAGACGTATTACCAAAAGTTATTTTTCCCTCAGTACTTTACCAGATGTATTATATAAGACTTTTAACACGTGAGGAGGGAAAAATGTAGACTGCCATTGCCGGTTTCCCTAGCTACCTGGCTTTTATGTTGATCTAAAAATGCAATTCTTTCTGAGCTACTGACATAGAACAAGTATGTAGCAGGTGAAGTCAGAACTCCTGATCTGCACATTTATTCAGGGCTGGTGACTGACAGCCGAGCAACTAGCATTGACTAGAAGAGGTCAACAGCAGCAAAGGAAATCTGTCATTAGAGAAATACAGAGGCTGTCATTCCTAACCTTCTGAAATTGCTGTTTGACTGGTACTGGTTTCAGTTACTGGTACTGGTTTCAGTTACTGGTACTGGTTTCAGTTACTGAAACAAGACAATCAGCCTGACAGTCATAGAATTAGCATTTTCAAAAGAAAATCAGCAATTTCAGCTCCATCTCTCATCACAGGTTTCCAGGAAACCAAGTGTTATAAATCAGTTATATACTTACAGGATCTCCGCCAGAGGCAAATGATATTGACTGCATATGATGGTTCGCAACTATCTATAAAAAAATTAAAATAAAAAAATAATATTAATAAAGTGCATGTTACAAATAGGGATGAGCACATCCAAACCTGGAAGAAAGCTGTCAGTGCCGGCCCTAGCTAATTGAGTCAGCACTGCCAGCTTCCTTCTAGGTTTGCTTAGTCCTAGCTACAAACAGTTCTCATAAAGTTTGATGAAAAAAATTCTACTACTGCTTATCCCTTTCACTCCCAAGACCTCCGGAACGCTTTAAACCTCAGATGGGAGACCATATTTGCAATTTTTCCCATTGTTTTGATTTTTTATTGCTGCGTTGCTAGCATATGTAAACAATCCCCCCAAACCACACATTTTATGAAAGCACAGGCCCTGTAAAATAAAGAAGGTGCTACTCATTTTGTGGGTCCTGCGATCATTGCGCAAATGTTTGTCAAATCAATATTAAACCAATAAAAATATACAGTTAAATTGATAAAAGCACACTAAAATCAGTATTAGTGCACAAAAAATACTTTTCCAACTAAATATAAAATATAAAACTGTATTGAGTTAATAAATAACAAATATTTGTAGATTTTAAATTGCGCCTTTTTGCGAAACGGTAAAAAATTGAGATGAGCAAAACTGTATATGAGCGACTTATGTCAAAAACTTGTTTGTTCGCTGTGCTGGTGTGTGTGTTGTGATAAAATGATACAGACGTAAATAAAAGTGCAACACAGCGTATCGCAATGCACGACAATGCGTCATAACGCTTTGCCATGTGCGGCCACAGTTAAATTAATGTTATTTTACAAAGAAAAACAACGCACCGCAGCGCATGTGCATGGCGTACACCACAATATGGTGCACACTGTTGCATGTGTATAATATGTGTGCGACCAACCAGCTTATAGCAGAACTGTAAAAGCCACCGATGTAAGGCTTACTGACGTGGCCAGCTGGAAAAAGCTGTGTTCTACCGTACATCGGTGGCAGTGAAAGGGTTAAAGCATGTATAAACCCAAAAACAAAAATGTAATATAATGCAGCTTAGCAATCCTTAGATGTGGTGGCTGCATTTGTTTTCTTATTTTATTAACTTTTTCCTTTTTTTTCCCCCTGGTGATCTGGCCAGTAGCACACTTCCTGCTTTACGGTAGACACCTTTGGACAGCAACATTGTCACCCTGTGGGGAGAGTTATGATAGAAACTACACATTATATATGTAGATATTTGACACTAGCAAATGTAGATGGACTTGACTAACACATTAAAGCCAAACTCAGACTGACACTTTTTAAGCAGCTGCAGCAACAGTTTTCTTGTTACTTTTTGAATAAGGTTTTCACATAAATTAATAAAACATTGTAAGCACCCCTGCTGGTGTTAAATGGTCAACCCTGTAACTTCTTATGCTGGGCAGTTTGGTCTGTTTAAAGGAAGTTGGAAAGTAAAATAGTTACTGTCTGGATCACCAGGTGAAAATAAAGGTAAAACATATCTAAAAAAAACACATCTAAGAACTGGTGAGCTGCAATATATTACATTTTTGCTTCTAGGTTTAGATGTTTTAAGTTCACATGACTGAAGTATTGATGGGATCCTGGTGAGGAAGTAAGGAAGCAAAGCTTGTAAACTAATAAAATATCTGTTTTCTGTCTGACAATTTGAGACATGAAAACACTGATATCTTCCACTTACAAGATCTGTTGCAGGCTCAAACATCTGTGTATATATAGAATATATATATATTTCTTTTTTGTTATTTTTTTTCTCAAGTGTGCATTAGCCATTTGCCTATAGAATTGCCTACATGTTTATGAGGATGTCCATGTAAATTCAAGAGCCACCCACTGGGTATAAACATGGCTCACACCAGAACCTATAGGTGAGCATTGATGACTCGCCATACTTCCACAAACCCCCCATTAACCATTAAAGCCTAACCCCGGCCATAATATATCTTTCTTTTATTTTGGCCAGCTTTGGGAAGAGTTGAAATTTTGTTAGCCTTAATACATTGGAGAGATTTTCTGTAATTTCTTGTTCCAGGAAAATATATTGTGATACCAGGACTTCCTTCAGCTAGGAAATGAGATGGGCTCTATCTGACTCGCTACTGCTTCTAATGAACATTGTGAGAATCTCACAGAGTGCAGTGAAATCACAGTCAGCAATTTCAGTAGAGGAGAGGAGACTATACAGCCAAACAACACTGAGGGTAAGGCTGGAGTTTAGCTTTAATATTCTTCATTAATAATAGTAAAAACCAGGGAGGTGTATAGAGAGGTGTATAAGAGGTAGGGTGATGTTATGTTCTGCTCAGAGACTCATGTGCAAAAAATATAGTGCTAACCTATCTTACAAGTCAATTTGTACGAACATTGTGAGAATCTCACAGAGTGCAGTGAAATCACAGTCAGCAATTTCAGTAGAGGAGAGGAGACTATACAGCCAAACAACACTGAGGGTAAGGCTGGAGTTTAGCTTTAATATTCTTCATTAATAATAGTAAAAACCAGGGAGGTGTATAGAGAGGTGTATAAGAGGTAGGGTGATGTTATGTTCTGCTCAGAGACTCATGTGCAAAAAATATAGTGCTAACCTATCTTACAAGTCAATTTGTACAATAATCTGTAGATAATGTCTTCTTAAATATTTGCATTTTGTAGTGCTGAAGATCTGTATCTGATGATGACATGTTGCAGCATATTGGAGTATTTATGTCCTTTGATAGCCTGAGGTTACCAAAGGTCCATCAGCCAAGTTAAAACAATCTCTTCTCTGTGCTAATGTATAATGGTATAAAGGAGAAATGTCTGCAGTCTGTCTGTCTGGATAATCATGTGATAAAAAATCATTTAGATCAGCAGGAATACATGTTATGTCTTTTGTCTCACTGACACTGAAAGACAAATTAGTCTGTATGAAGCCACAATTAACAGAAATTACAAGACAGACGGAAGGAAGCCATCATTGTAAGACATGGGCAATGGCCTACTGTTATGATCGTAATATACATTGCAAGCTAACAAATTCCTCAGAAGCCATACTATATGGTATGTCTATAGATCTATAATCAATACCCTAGGGTGATGGTGGACCTCCACCAATGCAGATCCCATTTATCACAATGTTTCTGGACACTTGATGTTTTAAAGTGGAACTACAACCAAAACATTTAAACCTTTTTGTATATGATTTTAGAGGTTTGGAAGTAGTGTCAGTGTCAAAGTTTTAATGCTGGCTGTAACCTTGTTGGGTACCCCGCCCCCCATCCCCATAATTGTCACTAAGGCAGAAATTGAGGGGGAATATATCTAACAAGGCATATGTAAGAGAAAATATACAGTGTTGTTTTTTTTCCCTTAGAGGAGGAGAAGGCTGTAAGTTATATCAGTGGGCTTTTTTGCTGCCTGTATTCCCAAGGGATAATTTTTTATCCCATTGACACAGCTGGAAACTGGACAGGATGTAACAAGGTTATGTAGTCCCAAAGGGTTAGAACCTCCAGAACACCCTTTCTCAACCAGGGTACCATGGCACACCAGGCTGTCTTCTGGCTTCCTCAGGGGTGCCTACAAATTTTGTAATGGTAGGACTCTCATATGAAGGGGGACTGAAGACTCTGATATGATGTGAAGGGGGTACTCTAATGTGAAAAGGGGGGCTCAGATATGAAAGGGGGGCTCTGTTGTAAAGGGGGGGGCTCTAATGTGAAGGGCAGCTCCTGATGTAAAGGGAAACACTGATGTCAAATAGGGGATTCTGATGTGAAATGGGGTGGCTCTGATGTTAAGGAGGGGACTTTTATGTGAAAGGGGGGGGCATTATTTTTTGGTGTTTTTACAATGGACCTCTCTTAAAATCCATTACATTTTAGACTAGGGTGCCTCGAGGTCTTGCATACTTTTAAAAGGTGCCATGGCTGAAAAAAGGTGGAGAAACACTGCTCTAGAATGTTGGAAATATATGTATGTATATATATAGATATATATATATATATCTATATATATCCTCTATTGGTATCATCATATATATAGTTACTTTTCCTGGACTATATAATAACTGCTGCTGCCACAGGACCAAAAGCTTGGGTGTTTGGTCACATGGCCAGCACAGGAGATGTTAGAGTGCAGAATTTTCTCCAAGAAAGGTAAGTACTTTGCCATTTTATTACTCTTAATATAAATTGTTTACAGAGCATTAATATGAACATGTGCTTTTCAGAGAAATGCAACAGGTTGCACTTCCATTTCTTACTCCCTTGCAGTATATACGTACCTTCCTTTCACTCTCCCTCCACTATGTTCAAAAGAAAGCAAAGGAAAATGCTGTGTAAGCTATGAGTCGCCAGAAAATCTAACAGTTATACAGAACTACTGCAGTTTCATATCATATATATTAAATAGTGTTTATTTTACTGCACTTCACCCGGTTGTCTTCCCACGCACACACCTGCTGAGTGTCAATATCTGTCAGGGTAAGGCTGTTTGTGGAGATGGTCAACTTGACATTAATTCCTGAAAACTGGAGGTTGCTCTTTCCCAGAACAGAGGACAGAAATTTCAGAGGAGGCTGAAGGAAGAGAAAAAAAATGATCAGATATTTTCTCAAGGCTTCTAACAATACCCTATATATGAATATCATGAAACTATCACAAACATCCATTGTATAAATGGGATGTTTGGATGGATGAATCACAGTAGAGAAACCATGACCTTCAAATGGACACTTTGACCAAAACCTACATCCGACTGGTTGCTATAGATAAGTCATTGATATACAAAAGAAGCTACAATAATATGCTTGTATTTTTTTTTATACATCCGAACAGATTCTGGGAATAATTCTTATGTGCTATTTCCAGTAGAATATATCTTATTACCAGAGGCGTAGTAATATGTAACAGGACAAATGTGACATGTTTATTTAATAGTTTAAAATACTTATGCTCAACATTATTTATAAAAGTGTCTTTCATAAGAATTGTCTTTTTGCCCCCAAACAAATTCATATGTTCACTCTCCAAATGACATTTTCCATTGCAGGTTTGAATAAGATTGGTTGTTGTGAGACAACAAACAACGTTTTAATGACAGACACTTTTGCATATGAAGTCTGTTGTTGTAATGAAAGGGTTATTAGCGACCAATCTAAGCACCCTTTAGGGACTAGTGCTTCTAAGGAGAGTGTATTCCAAAGCAGGAATGTTTTGGTGAGTGACTACAATAGGCAATGCCTTAAAACATCAGTCTAAAGGTATCCCCCCAACCCCAGGCACCAACAATTAACAGCTAATTTATGCCAGATGGAAGACATACGAATAAGCATTGTAAAAAGGAGTACTGTTTTCTCTTGCGACAATCAAATGCCACAACTGCGCCAGTCAACTCCTAGGGCAACAACGTGAAGCTGAATGTAGTCAACTCCACAGATACTGAGCCAGCATGGCTTCTCAGGCAGAGTGGGGTAGAAAGCAGGACTGGGCTGCAATCAAATGTGTCGCGTGTTAGATGATAAAGAAGTATGCATGTAGTATGATGACTGGGACTCTTTAAAGCAAAATTGCCAGGCTTTTTAAACTTTTAGAAGTAAAGGTCCAGCCCAAGACAAGAAAAAGTAGGGGTTGCTTTAGTTGGTCAGGTCTAGGTTCTGCAACCCCTACCTAAAAATACTAAATGAGCAGGTTTTTCCATCAATGGATTTTTTCTTCCCTCATGGCACTGGCATATTTCAAGATGACGATTCATCGGGCTCAAATTGTGAAGGAGCGGTTCAGGGAGCATGATACATCATTTGCACACGTGGTTTGGCCACCATAGAGTTCAGACCTTAACCCCATTGACAATCTTTGGGCTGTGCTGGAGAAGACTTTACTCAGTGGTCCAACTCTCCCATCATCACTACAAGATCTTGGTGAAAAATGTATGTAACTCTGGATGGAAATAAATGTTGTGACTTTTTATAAGCTTACCAAAACAATGCCACGGCAAATGCATGCCGTAATAAAAACTAAAGGCAGTCCAACAAAATATTACAGTGTGTGACTTTTTTTGGCCAGGCAGTGTCATGGCGGGAAGTGAGGTGACACCTACAGGAAGTGGGGTAAATAGGCCATGGATAGCAATAAAAATCTAACAAAGGCTCTAACCCGTCCTGCTCTATCCAGAACCATTGCTTTTAAAGAACGGGAGGAAGATGAGTGGGCACACCATAGCTTCAGGGGGAAAGGCTCATACTCAGATCAGACGAGAGAAATGCTTTTGTTGGCCTACAAAGGCATCTACTCAGACATAATATTTTTAAAGTGAAACATAAACATAGTATAAAAGACCTCTCTACATAAAACAAATCTCTTTCATCCTACTCGTATATTATGCCACTATTTAACAATATTTGATAATGGAATTCTGATTACATGTGTATTACATATTAAGGATGTTTCGTGATGTGAAGCATTCCACTTTTATGCTCTCTTAAGGCTGCCTGTTTCCTAACTTCTGGATAATCTGATGGCTGCTTGGATTATGAAACCAGACACATTTTCTCGGATGCTGAATTATATGGTCATTTTGTAATTATAAGACTACGTATTTCCCTATAAAATTTCTTCCATCACTCCAGTCATACAGAGGATAATTCTGCTAAAACCCAGGAAACAAAAGCGCCTTTGAATCCCACTGACAGATCACATGATTAAATGAGTTATCATGTTTCATTTCTTACTGGAAAATAAGAAGACTTGCACGTTGACCCCTACAGACTCTGCTTCTAGGAGAAGCTCAGGCAGTACTCGAAATCTGTGCCATGCTTTCTTTAGTTTTTGGAGACATTGTGTAGTAAAGCTAGCCATACACTGATCTATTTTTCTTGTTCAAACCTTGGGCTTAACGAGAAAAATAGAGCAGATTCCGCCATCATCTCTTAGGAGTGTGTCGATTGAGGAAGTGTCCTCCCTTTATCCTTAGGAGAACTATGGGGAAAAGCCCTAACCCCATAGTTCTCCTTTAATGTCAATGGCTGGGCTTCCTACTCCTGCCTTTAAAGCCTTGCTATTATTTATCGAGCTATTGTTGTGACCAGTAGTAGGCTTGGGAAGTGGGAAGTGAAGGTGTATCATTATCCACTGTTTAATTGAAAAACTTCAAAATCTCAGTTTAACTACCTCCCGGCCGGCCGTTGTGTATACACACCCGGCCGGGAGCTTCTTGGATGTAACTGGGCGTGTATACACATCCTGTTACATCCACACGCTCGGGCGCGCGGGAAATGCCGGTTATTTTAAAACAGGCAGCTATAGAGCCGGCGGATCGCTTGTATGAGGTCCTGTGACGCGCGCCCCCCCTCCGCGGCTCACCCCTCCTGCTGTCAAGCTGGTCCCGGGCTCCGGTTTGAGCCAGGGACTTGCATACTGCCTCTGTCACAGGGGATCAGAGGGAGGTCGGTTCACATTGCCTAACTTTAAAAAAAAAAAAAAAATAGCTGCTTTTTTACTTGCCTAAAATCCTACCTAGCTTCCCACTGTGTAATGTTAGGGAGGGGGCTGGAATGGAGGGCAATGTTGAATCTGCACAAATGCCATCACCAAAGAGACATCTAAAAGGTATATTTTTCAAATGATTTTTAGATATGCTGTGTGAATAGGAAAACAGAACAACGTGGGGTTTTCTCTCATTTGACTGCAAAAGTAAAACTACACTTTTAATTGTAGACTAATACACAAAGAAAGCCCCATCCAGCAAAAAAAAAAAAAAAATAATGGAGGACCAACTAACTATGCACCAAAAACAACATACTACCTGAAGGGCGGAGGAAAAACTAGACAAAAGGAAAGATGTGGTCAACAAGAAAGAATTGCTACTGGGCAAAACCCCAGGAAAAGCACACCAGAAGGAGAAGTTTGGATAGACAACTATATCTAAAAAAGAGGAACAGCCAGTCACTGAAGAAGGCTCGAAGGAGAATTATGGGGCGAGTGAAAAATACTCATCCCCATAATTCAAGCCGCCTTCTGACAAAGAAGCGGTCACACGTCGGCTCTATTGATGGGGAAGTCCGCAAACACATACTGCCGATCACTGACTTCGCGATTGTCTCCCTGAAGAGAGCGCTAACTGGAGGAACGGAAGGGGGTGGGCACTGATGTCAATCAGCCAGTGGGGTAGATCTCGACAGTCATGTTGGGGTTCATCTCGGCTGTGGAGCAGCACTGCGCTCTCAGCATATAGTACGCAATAGCCCACTATATGCTGAGTTTTGAGTCACCGGAGGACAAGTATATATCTTCCTGTGACCCTGAAGAGAACTATGGGCAGAAAAGGTTTTATATACACAGGACCACTTTAAGCTGTACACTACACAGAAAGGGGCTTTATGCTTCAAGTCAGGCCACAGATTCTCAAATGGATTGAGATACTTTATTGTGAGGATGGTGTTCTGAGGGTGATGAGAAGTGTTGAAGTGGCAAAAATCCCAGTGGCTTAATGTGCCATGCTTATAGAGATGTACCCCAAGAGACTTGCAGCTGTAATTTCAGCAAACGGTGGCTCTACAAAGTGTTGACATTTGGGGCGTGAATAGTTATGCACATTTAAGATTTCTGTTTTTTATTATGGTGTCGCAATAAAAATTATTTTGCGGGGGGCGTGGCCTGAGCGGCTGAACATGGCAGACGTGTGCTGATTCAGCTCCTCTTCCCCTGGGCACCTGTTGCCGCTTTTTGCTAGCTATCATCATCGGACCAACCCCAAACCGTCCCCACTACGATCCCGGACTCATTCTCTCCCCCTCATGGGCAGGAAAGGCGCCTATTCGCAACGTACCCGCAAATCCACACGATCTTCGGCTGCACGCCAGACACAGGCCGCAACCTCACCGAGAGCAACGGCTGCCACGCCTGACAAAGGTGCGATGGCCTCCTCTCCTCTGTACCCGGAACAGCCATCACCATCGGGGACCCCCTCTGACTTGCTTGCCTCCTCTCCAAGCAGCTCAGTCGCTCGATCCCCGGCCCCGGTCCCGGCCATCGCCGACTTCCACCTGCGTGATGCCCAACTCCTGGACCGGTTTAAAACCATGCTGCAGGCCGAACTAAAGATGGCTACCGACACGATCTCCGCTAATCTCTCCAGGGAGCTCAGGGACCTGGGCTCTCGTACCGACCTATTGGAGACTAAGGTGGACGATACTACCCACGTGGTGAACGCTCATTCAGCCGCTCTCACGTCCCTGCAGGCGGACCTCTCGATGGCGGTATCCAAGTTGGAGGACCTCGAAAATAGGGCGCGAAGGGGAAATCTGCGGATCCGTGGTGTGCCTGAAAGAATAGAAGACTTACCTTCCACCATCACCGCACTTCTCCAGGAGCTCCAGCCAGCGATTCCTATAGACCGCATGGAATTCGATAGGATCCATCGCTCCCTAGGCCCTAAACGCTCGGACGGTCTACCCAGGGATGTGCTGGTCAAATTCACCTACTACCGCACGAAAGACGCCATCTTTCAGGCTGCCAGGAATGCGCGCGCCCTAACGTTCCAGGGCTTCACCTACGAGATCTACGCTGACCTCAGCCCCAT